GGTCATAATCGTTTTGTGAAATGAAAGTTTTACGACGTCTATTTAAAGTTTTTCCTTCAAGATATTTATAATCAGATCATTAAAAACTTGTTTTGAAAATAAAAGGATATTCTTCTTGGGTTGACATTTTGGGATAAAAATCTTTGCAAAACGTAATAATAAATACAATTCAATTGTATTAAATATAAACTTATTTCATAATTACTAATACGATCACTTTAAAATCACTTTAAATAGTTCGTAATTGCTTTGTTGCATAATTCTATTCCCACTTAAGTATTTTTAAGATCCGCAATCACCTTAAGTTGATTCCGAATCTACAAACATCCCGTAACCACCTACAACATATATAAACTAAAATAGACAAATTTAAACAAAAATTTTTAACTAAAAAAACAATCTTTAACAAATTTTTTAAATACTGTAACTAGTGTTTAAAAAATCAAATTTAAATTTTAATTTGATTTAATTATTAAATTAGTTTTGGCTTAAAAAATTGAATTACAGTAGCTAAATTAAGCAGAATTGGGCCTAATTTTAAAATAAAAAATATTTAAAAATTTTAGATTAACTATTACAGTACTTAATTGATTTATTTAAAAATTATGTTAGTTGTTTATTTAGATTCGATTCAATCTGATTAAGCTTGATATTTTTTGAACATTTTGTTATGCACGTCTGTTAGTATTCAAAGCTAAAAATATATATTTGTAATTATCGCTCTTTTCGATTTAGTTGGATCGATGAATTTTTGCTTTTTTTTTTTTTTGTTCATGGGTCTCATGAATCCACGAGTTTTATATATGCATATATCCTGCCATATTTGTAATTGTTAACTGTCTACGTATCGTATTGATAAATTATTAATGATCTGATTAACTTATACGTACAATTTGTGTGAATTGCATAACTTACATATGTTCGTACGTATATGTATATACTTTTTGTTTAAATCATGTATACTTTTAGCATAAATTTATAATCGTAATATACTTTCTAAGGGTACTGTATATTTGAATACATTTTCTATGATCGAAGCAAATTACAGTAAACTACATACTTTTTGCAATTTGCTTCGACCATAGCAGATAGCGAATCACAAAATTTACACATCCCTGCCCCCATAACTTGTACCCAAGGGCTGTTTGAGAGCTAAAATTTCTCTTGTGAACGGCTTACTTCAAAAATCAGTACTTTTATATCTTGAGAAACACACTAAGGGTAAAAAAAACTTTAAAGGTCGGCAAAGTGAAATAAAAAAAAATACCCCAGGTACATCTCTTGTCAATGTAAATACCTAAATATATGAGTCAGCAGTTTACGGTATTTTAATATAACAGAATTACAAAATATCTTAATAACAAAATGTAATATATAGGTCATTTTATATTTTAATTGATAATTCACTAACTATAAAATGAAAGTTAACATGATTACAAATATTTAATAAAATATTCATAGCTAAAATTTTTTTGATCTACTAAAATACATTAATAAAACCGAAATGGACTGAAAGGTAGTATTTAAACTTATCATTTAATACATTTGTAATTAATGTTACAAAAGATTTAAAACTTGTTAGGTTAAATGCAAGTAAAATTACTACCGCAAGTAGAACCTACAGGGCAGCAGCCTCCGCCAAAACAACATATGGTGTTCTTATAACAGCAAGTAGTGGCATCACACACAACCGTAGTAGAATTACAAGGAATGGCGCATTTATAGTTTGTAGTGCATGTCGAGCCTAAAGGACAACATCCAACACCATCTGGACACTCAAAAAAATTAGCTGGGCAAGACTGCCTTGCTTTTAATGAAGATGAAGAAGTGCCTGATATCAATCTTCTTCCTTGATCAGGTGATTCAGCAGGAATTAAAGTATTAAAGATTGCAATAGCAAAAATAAGCGATAAGATAAAAGATTTCTTCAACATTTTGAGATGTTTAGAACGTTTGAGAAAAACTAATCCTATTTATAATTAAACATGATTTTATCATAAGAATATTTGTAGTACAACTTAATTACATATTCAAAAAAAAAAAACAATTTACTTTTATATTTATTAAATATAAATGAGCTTCCATAAAATTTTGTTTTTGGCGTTTTGTATATGTAATTTAATGTCAATGGCCATTTAGAATGTAGGCGCAAATTCTAATCCGATGTGTGCAAATAATTAAAAAATGAAAATAAGTGTATAAACAGACTACTAAGCACCAATAAAATTATTTGGAATACAATTTTACATAGTAATATTTTCTTTATTATCTTATAATTAGAGAATAGTAAAAAAAATTTTTTTAACTGTTTTAAAACATGTAATATTAATGATATAGATATACCAAAATCTAAATTTAATGTATTCAGATTATAATCATCTCATGCTTTAAAACAGTTAAAAGCATCCTTACTTATAAGCCTAAATTCCTATAAAGTTTTCTCTAAGTTGGACTTTTCTCTGTTATACTTTTTAAAAACAATATTTAACTCTGGCTTTATTTGTGTTCGGTTTCATTAACAAAAATATTTTAATAAAAAACAGGTCAGATACTGTTAAATCCAGAATTTAAAATTCAGTTACAGCCAAAAAAAAAAAAATAAATATAAATATATTGATTAACAGGAAATAAATTGAAGATTATCTAACCTAGAAGTAGTGCGAATACACGTAACAAAGTTTGGTCAATTATCCCTCAACAATGTCATCTGTTATGATCTCTATAATAAAAACCGAGAAAAGGCAATATTAAAAAAAAAATGAGCTCAAATAAAAAGAAAAAAATTCATATATAATTTTAGAGTGTTAATGATAAATGAAAATGTTATATTTATAATTGAACAACATTTCACAAAGAAAATTCTTCATAGATTCCTTATTGCTAATGATATACAAATATTTGTTATCACAAATCAAATAATCTTTCATTCTTTAATCAATAGAATGGACTTAGTTTGCTTGAATTTGTGCAATGAAAGACAAAAATATTTGGAATTTTATGTAATTCGGGAAGGGATAAATCATTTTAAATGATTTAGGACTTATAATTCGAAGCATTAATTTAACCCTAAAACTAGACAGTAATTTTTTCCCTGTACGAGCATTTGAACATAGAATTGGTAGAACTTACACAAGAAATACATCGCAAACATACTGTGAAAGTCTGATTTGTGCACTCCCCATGGCGTGTACAGTACATTAGTCTTTATATGGTGTATCTCAGACTTTTTTATGGTAGTTAATAAAGTCAAGTGAGGAATGAATGGTTTAATCATTATACACACAGACTAAGAGTTTTTTCAAGATCTCATTCAATGAAATGAAAGCAAAGTCTTAATTGGTTAGGAATCGAATAAGCAAATAAAGTAAGTTATTGTTTCGATTAATAAATGATGGAAGTGTTGGCCATCTTTTTTTTCATAATGTCATTATCAGTTTAGAAAGCTTACTTCGATCATACCGCTTTTAGCTTCGATGGTTGACGTTAATAAAGCAATAAGGACTTGACACTAAAACATGGAGCTCGCATCTTTGTGAATTAGGCGTTTATCATAGAAGAAAATAAATTATGTGATTTTTATTTTAGGCGAACGTACAAAGGCTCATGTACAGTATATATGAAGAGAAATCAAATATCGGTTAACTTAAAAGACTGCACACAGCTTAACTAGCCATCAATTTTTTTAAAAAAATTTCCGCATAGCTACAGTGCGGGAACAGCATAAACCAACACCCTTTTATATGTATTGTTGGTGGCAAAACCGCCAAAACCCGCTGCACCAAAACCGACGCCACGAGG